TTTTTTTTTAAATACTTTATTAAATTTCCGCAAAAGTTAAAACATACAAAAACCAAGAAAAGGGTTAAAAAGGAACACACTAAAGAAAAAGAAGGTGCAAAGGAATAATAGAAAAAGGGGGGAAAAAGCAAAGTAAAAGGTGTTCTGAAGAATTCGGAAGGTTGCACATTCTTTTGTTTTGTTTTGGTCTGTCCCTATTAAAGATTTTATTCAACCATGGATTTTGAACTGCTTCCCATAATCTACTTTCAAGCTGCAAAACCAGAAAAGGGCATACTGAAATCCTCTGCTTTTTTAACGTTACTTAACAGAATAACAGAGTTAGAAAGGACCTTGGAGGTCCTCTAGTCAATCCCTGCAACAAACAGGAAACCCTATACCATTTCAGACAAGTGGTTCGCTCAGTCTCTTCATAAAAAAAAAAAAAAACTCCAGTGATGGAGCACCCACAACTTCTGAAAGCAAGCCATTACATACTATACTGATTAATTGTTCTCACTGTTAGAAATTTCTCCTTAGTTCTAGGTTGGATCTCTCTTTAATGCGCTTCCACCTTACTTCTTGTCCTGCTCTCTGGTGCTACAAAAAATAGGTTGACCCCCGTCACCTCTTCTTTGTGGCAGCCCCTCAAACAGTTGAACACTGCTATCATATCGCCCACAGCCCTTCTTTTCTCTTGACCAGCCATACCCTATTCCTGCAACCGGTCTTTGTATGTTTAACTCCCAGCTAAAACATACAGAGAACCGGCAAATTAGTTGATTGCTAACAGAAGACGGGGTAATTTTTCAAGGGCAGCATTTTTTTAGTGCAGCCAAGTGCTGTGTAACTGATACCTAGGATGCAGCTAAGTCATATGTCCCATTTATACACACCAGCGAGTAACTTCTGATCATCAGTCACACTCTCAACTCAACACACTTGGCAGGACTGTGTAAACAATCCTTATGTGCTTTTTCCCCAAAACAAAATGTACACATAAATAAGTAAAATGATTTTTTGGGAAAAGAAGAATGCCAGGGGTAGGTTTGTGGGAGGGGCAGTAATGACTCATTAAGAATGGCTTTTTGAATCACTCATGAAAACGCACAGTTTTATTTTTAGTGTACAGTGCAAAAGGATGAGTGGGGAGTGGAATAAATGCGAAATAAGGCTTTTTCTTATTTCCAGCCATAGATCCAGTAGCTCAGTTGAAACAGACTGAGCAAGAACAGGCCTTCAGGGCAGTCCTGAAGGTGGATGGATTAAGTGGTGGTGGTTTCTCCTTCTTCCCAAACTTCTCTTTGAATGGAATATAGAATAAGAGTTGGAAGGGACCTTGGAGGTCTAATAGTCCAACCCTCTGCACAGGCAGGAAACCCGATATCATTTCTGACAAATGGTTATCCAATCTCTTCTTTAAAACTTCCAGTGTTGGAGCCTTTACAACTTCTGGAAGCAAGTTGTTCTATGTTCCACTGGTTAACTGTTCTCACAGTCAGGAAATTTCTCCTTAGTTCTAAGTTGCTTCTCTCCTTGATTAGAATTCCACCCATTGCTTCTTGTCCTGCCCTCAGGTGCTTTGGAGAATAATCTGACCCCCTCTTCTTTCTGGCAGCCCCCTCAAATACTGGGACACTGGCTATCATGCCACCCCTAGCCCTTCTTTTCATTAGACTAGGATGTGGTAAAGCCACAAGCAGGACGTCACAGCTCTGGATCAACATCACTTATCTTTAGTATAAAGGAAGCCTAAGAACTCCCTGCAGAAGTGGTTTCTAAACTATCTGACCCAATTACTGCTTTTCCAGGTCTCAAATAATACCATTACTCCCAACACGCATGTACATACAAGTACAGGGACATACACGTACAGGGCCTTGTTTAAACAAGTGTATCAGCTGCAACAATTCCAAATTGAGTCAATTCCAAACTGCTCCAATTTCCCCCAAGTTATGTTACCAATATTATCCCTTTGGGACAACGGCCTGCAATTTAAGGATGGTTGCCCTAGATAGCTATGGCCAGGGTCAAATGAGCAAGAGAATGTTCCAAGTTGCTATGAGAAAACTCTTGAGCATGAAATAAACGCTATATGTGTGTGTGTGTATGGATATGGATGCTTAATGTTGTGCAAATGTACAAAATGAAGTGGGATATAGTAATAATAAGTAAACATGAGTGGATAGAAGCTTTTTTTTAAATAGTGTGTCCAAATAAACTATTAGGCAACTCAGAATAGCCCAAAGCACGGAGTGTTTAAATTAAAGGGCCACAATTTCTAAATTAAATGTCTAAATTAAAGGATCACAATTAAAGGATTTGCTAAATTAAAGGATTTCTAAATTAAAGTTCTAAATTAAAGGACCACAATTGCTAAATTAAATGAAAGAATTTCTAAATTAAATTTCTAAATGAAAGGACCACAATTTCTATTTCAATGTTTGTCAAACCTGGCAACTTTCAGAGACCTGGACTTCAAACTCCCAGAATTGCCCAGATATATATATATATATATCAAGTACATATATAATGACGTGGGAAAATACCCAAACAAAGCTGAAGGCCATATATAGGTGTTATTAAAAAGTTAATAATTTAATTTTGCTTCCAGGACCATACATGGAAATGGATTTCCTCTAGCACCTTTCAAGGGAACTTCCCTGATTCCATTCCCTGCCCTTTGGGGCATCTTCCTTACACCCTTGTAAGGTAGGACCAGCCACAGGGGTAGAGGCGTGTGGTCCAATCTCCCAGAGGCTGGGGAAGATGGGTAGTGGAGTCCAACAGGTGCAAGGGATCCCCTTCAAAGGATGGGGGAGAGGGAGGGACTGAGGGGGCGGAGCTAGCCGTCAGACCCGCCTCCCGCGGCGACGTCACTCCCGCGGTGACGTCACTCCTTTATTCCCAACGGCGGGCAGGGGGCAAGGTGAGGGAAAGGGGGCGGCGGGCGTCCCTCACCTGGCATGATGGTGTAGAGCCGGCGCTGCTGTTGCTGCGCCCGTTTCCTGCGCTTGGCCTCCTGCTCGAGGCGGATGAGGGAGGAGCACGAGTGGGCGCCGCGGCCGTAAGGAGGCTCCACCTCCTCTTCTTCCTCCTCCTCCTCCTCCTCCCCCGGGTAGGCGGAGCCCTCCATCGCGGTCCGGAGGGCGCATGCGCACTCTTGCCTGCGCGTGGAAGGAGCCGACTAGCAGTGCCGCCCCGAGCGACGCGGCGTTTTTGTGCATCACCTAGGCGACGGCGCGGTGGGCGGGGCCAACAACACGCTCTGTTTGTGGGCGGGGCTTGTGGCGTCATCGGCTTAGGCCCCGCCCCCTTGAATGCTAGAAAAGGGGGTCTGGACGTCCAGAGGTGGCTTTCAATCCCCGATCTGGGGAAAATAGTGCCTCTGAGAGTGTGCAGAGTTTTTTCTTATTATTCTTCACCCTCCTGTGCCACTGAAAGCCATCCTTGCTGTGCAGGGTACCCAGGCAGCAGCCTCACTGAAATAACATGGCTCAGGGCGTATGTGGCACATTTTTTCAAATGTGTAATACGTGTGGAAGGATTCGTGCAATATGTAGAATTACCAGCGCAATCCAATTTTTTATTAAAGGACCCAGCCAGATCCAAATAACATCCCACAGGGTCTACACAGCCGTGGGAAAGTAAATTAAAACAGCACTATTCTCAGAAAAAGTAATTTATTGCAGCAATTGTGACATTTGCAAATCCTGGACTGCAACACCAAAGCTTTTCATGTAACACCTTGCAAGAAAGGAAGAGTTAAGTTTTGATTCATACAAGGATACCTAAATGAGACAGGGCTGTCTTAATGCCTGGGCCTGATGGGAACTTGCCAGTGGGCCCCTCGAGCATAGCCCACCCCCCATGCTAATCTGTGTATTTTAACCTTTCAATGCACCTTGTATCATATAAATACAGCAACATATTTATTACATTTTACTGCATTTTTAAAAATTAATACTAGCATGCATTAATAGAGATTAACACTGATTTTATTTTGTTGGAAGTGCCAATAAAATAAATATATGTTTAATTTTGTCGACCATGTATGTTTTTATTCCTGTGAGCAGTTGTAGGGGCCCCAGTACAGTGCTTTGCCCGGAGCCCATAATCCTCTTAAGATGGCCCTGAAATGAGAATGCAATCAATGCAATCCGATTTTATTAAAGTCTAGCCAGATCCAAATAACATCCCACAGTGTCTACACCACCAGGGAAAGTAAATAAGACAAAGCAACATTCTCTGAAAAAGTAATTTATTGCAGCACTCTGACATTTGCAAATCCTGGACTGTGCAACACAAAAGATTTTCATATCTACAAGGATACCTGAGAATGATAATTACTAAAACGGGTTTATAGCATCGAGACTTGCTCATTCCACCCACCACACTTTAGAATTAGAATTAGAATAATAGCGTTGGAAGGGACCTTGGAGGTCTTCTAGTCCAACCCCCTGCTTAGGCAGGAAACCCTACACCAATTCAGACAAATGGTTGTCCAATCTCTTCTTAAAAACTTCCACTGTTGGAGCATTTACAACTTCTAGAGGCAAGTTGTTCCCCTGATTATTTGTTCTAACAGTCAGGGAAATTCTCCTTAATTCCAAGTTGCTTCTCTCTTGATGAGTTTCCACCCATTGCTTTTTGTCCTGCCTGCAGGTGCTTTGGAGAATAGCTTGATTCCCTCTTCTCTGTGGCAACCCCTGAGATATTGGAACACTAATATCATGTCACCCCAGTACTTCTTTTCATCAAACTAGACATACCCAGTTCCAGCAACCATTCTTCATATGCTTTAGCCTCCAGTCCCCTGTCTTATTCCGCAGCCTGTAAAATAAGGCATGTTTAGGCGCCATGGATGGATAAATCAGATTCTCCTGGAAACTCCTGCTTAATTACTCTTATCATGCTTAGGGAGCTAGTTCCTTGCTAGTCTAGAACAGTGTTTCTGAATCTCATCAACTTTAAGCTATAGCTTATGACTCCCACCATTCTGATAGTTGAAGTCCACCCCTCATAAAGCATGCTGGCTGGGAAATTTTGGGAGTCTAAGCAATGGTGGGATTCAAATTTTTCTACTACCCGTTTTGTGGGCATGGCTTAGTAGGCATGGCAAGGGAAGGATACTGCAAAATCCTCATTCCCTCCCCACCCCACTAACCTGCTTTCCAGCTCTGTTCTCCTGTGCAGGGCAACCAAAGAAGACCCAGCCAATCAGCTGGGACTCAATGGGAGGCAGAGAATAGATGGGGGTGGGGCCAGTCAGAGGTGGGATTGGCCGGTTCTCCGAACTACTCAAAATTTCCGCTACCGGTTCTCCAGAACTGGTCAGAACCTGCTGAATGGCCACCTCTGAGTCTACGTCCCTAAAGTCACTGAAATTGAGAAAAATGGACTTAATGAGGATACAGTCCTTTCTATTGATCAAGTCCACGTCATAGCATAACTGAACCCAGCACCTGACAGACATTTCCAGGGTAATCCACTTTACCTTGAGGATCCCCAAAGGGACAGGAGATGGGATACCTTTTTTAAATTTGACCCTCTTTCCTTGCTGGGAAGGTTGAGAAACACGGAAGGATAGAAAAGTCACTTGTGGAAGGAACAAATTGTTCCAGTTGTTTCAAAGGTGGAAGATGGCAGTAGGCTGTGATGGCACAAGAAACCCAGTAATCAGATGTAGCTGTTGGTATTATCGGACAGATCCTACACCAACTACTGAGCAGCCTGTTCACATCAGGGTCTGGAGTTCTCTCCATTGTTTTCAGAAAAAAATATATTCATGGTTAAAAAGAGAGATGGCTCGGTAGAAGAAAGTCAGTGGTTCCTGCCCTGGCATTTCTAAAAAGCTTGTGCAAGATGCTGACTTCCTAAGTCCTAAGAGATGGTATGGTTCTGAAACATAGCAGTGATGGGTTTCAAAAAGATTAATGATGTGGGGGTTTTTTTTCCCCCTGGCAAAATAAGGGCACCATTATTAAGTGCTAGCCTCTTCCTGTGCGCTCATCAGGTTGTCCAAGTTGGGAAGAGAAAATAAACCACCTATGACTGCCAATGAACAAAATTAGTTCAAACTTGCTGGACTGAAAATCCCTCAAGAGGATAGATATATTAGAAGCTGGATTAACATCTAAAAATTTATGCCTTAAGTTATTATCTAGTGGTTGTATAGAACAAACTTCAGCGAGGTTTACTTCGACTTTGAAATGAAAAGACCTCTCCACCCAATCCCAACCAAAGGACTTTGTGCTTATGCTTACAATTCAACCATCCTTAGCTCTTAAATCCAAACTGGATTTTAAAATTAAATTTAAAATAAGATGAAGATAAATTCAAACCGAATTAAGCTGAGATAAGATTACATGAAATCCAAACCAATTAAACTAAAATCCTCACTAAACAGAGAAATCACCTTTCTATGCAAACCTCTTGCTCCTCTTCACTCAAACTTTAGTCCTTTCCCCCAACAGGTCTTAAGGAGCTGGAATGGCAGTTCCATATTTGGGATCCCCAAAACCTTGCTGATTTAACCCAGGGGATCTGGATATTTACAATTGCACGCAGAATTATCTTGTTCCTGATCTAGAAATTCCGTCTCATTGAGCCGCTGAGTTTAACTGTACTAACAATCCAAGCTTGCCTGCGGTGGCCCAGCATGGACCATTTCTCAGATTCTCCAGCTCTCTGGCTACAGAGCAATGTATCGGCTCCAGCCATAACCCCACAATACCATTTTTTGACACCCCAAGCAGAAAGTTGTGAGAACCAGCCTTTTCTGTTGGCTTGATGTCAATGCCCAGTCTCTCTCAGCATAGAGAACGTGGCAGATTATCTATCCAGCTTGGGACTCATGGAGTATAACGGCGCTCCACTCACACGGTTCAAGAGAGGAAGCATTAATGCACCTGCTCAGCTGCGGTCTGACAGCCCTAGATGATGAGGGAAGCGCTTCTTCCTTCCTGCTGCGAGGAGAAAGAAGGCTAAGAAAAGGGTGCATCGTGCACAATCTGTGAATTAAGGCTGGCCTGCCTAGCACTTCCTCTGCTATGGGCAGCAATGACAGAAATCAAAGGCTGGCTCTTATATGTTTTCCAGGCTCCCACATTTCTTAGGCTTGCAACACCACAGATGGCAAGCAAGAACATGCATTTTTTGTGAAGGCATCTGGCCAGCTTAAGGGAGACCACTAACCTCAGGGTAGAGCCTTTGAACCTTCAGTGCAGAAAAGTCCAGGAAGGGAGACTTTGAGATGGTGAAGCCCTTCTTGGAGCAGATCTTCTTCAGCAGCCTGTTGGGTGGTTGCTTTCCAGTTTCAGCCTGAGGAACTGCGGCCCACCCCTCCATACACCACGAGAAGGAAGACGTGAAAGCTTCGGCTTGGTCTCATCCTGGTCACCGCCACCCTGCTCTGATTCTTGTGAACAGAATGTCAGGACAGACTCAGGGTATTAGTAGGGCTGCCAAAACCTTGTGAATTCCCCTCCCTCGGTTAGGCCAGCTCTGTTTCTTCTTACTCATCCTACCAGGGACAGCCCCAACTATTCACAACTGCTAGCCGAGCGTTTCTAAGATACCTCAAAGTGTGATCTTCAAAACAACTAACAGAAAAGAAGCTTGTGGATATTTTTTCTTCTTCTCCTCCTCTTTCATTTTCTGGAAATGAGCATGCTTCGTTCCCGATGCTTCATGTTGCTGGGGGATTTTCATGGGCCTGTGTGGATCTAGATGACTTTAAAGACCTTGATAAGTAAAAGGTAAAGGGTTTTCCACTGTCCAATGGTCTCCATTCTTATGGGGCAGTGTTTATCTCTGCTAGGTAGCCAGCATTGTCCGAAGACATTTTCCATAATCATGTGGCCAGCATGGCTATACACCAAAGACACACTGAATGCTGTTGTCTTCCCACTGAAGTGGTACCTATTTATCTACTCGGATTTGCATGCTCTCGAACTGCTAGTGGGCAGGAGCTGGGGCAAGGAATGGGAGCTTACCCGTTGCGTGGCACTTGGGTCTCAAACCTGGGGTGTCAGCTTTCCAGCTGACAAGCTTAGTGTCTTTAACTGCTGAGCCATTGTGCCCTCTCTTTTTGATAAATTAATAAATGAATGTTAGAAACTGGCTTCAAGAGCA